CCTGTGCCACTCAAGGGGGCCTCCCTGGACCCGAGGTGAGTCCCTGTGGGACAAGAGAGTGTTGCTTTGCCCTCTATCTCCTCCCACCAGTGGGAGACAGATTGGGGCCTCCTAAAGGAGGCCCTTGGTCAGTCAGCCTTGGTGGGTATGCTGCTGAGGCTGCTAGACTAAAGGGCTGGGACAGGGGGTAATCATTGTCTCCTGTCCAGGTTTGTTTTCCTGCTGGACCATGGGCTGGATATTTACGTGTGGCGGGGAGCCCAGGCTACACTGGGCAGCACCACGAAGGCCAGGTACTAGACTCCGTGTGGATATTTTGGGGTGTCTGACATGGGAAAGCCGCTACCCACCGCAAGGCAGTCTGAGCTCAGCTCATTCCCTGGCTGGCCGAAGCCACTGAAAAGGTGAACAGACCTCACTGAGGGCTCTCTTCCCCTGCCTCCCAGACTCTTTGCAGAGAAAATAAACAAGAATGAGCGGAAAGGGAAGGCCGAGATCACGCTGCTGGTGCAGGGTCAGGAGCCTCCAGAGTTCTGGGAAGCGCTGGGCGGGGAGCCCTCTGAGATCAAGAGACATGTGCCCGACGACTTCTGGCCACCTTCACCCAAACTGTATAAGGCGAGCAGGGCTGGAGTGGAGGGCAGCAGGCATCTGAGCAGGCTGTGAAGGCTCTACCTCGGCTTTGGTGCAGTGTGGGTGCCACCATCAAGACCGGTCTGAGCAGAGGTAGCTGGTGTGAGGGTGTGAAGGTGGAGAAGGAACCTGTCCCTAATTCTGTAGGTCATTGACAGGAGACCTTGGGGGGGCCTCTTGAGCAGAAAAAGGACAAGTTATTGGTACTAGAAAACAGCAGTCAGGACCTAGAAAGTCAGATCGTCCTTTAAAAACGACCCTGAGAGAAGGGCAAGAAACTGAGCCACACTGGCAGACAGAGGCGGACTCCCCATCAGGTGGCCATAAGCATGGGCTCATGTTCCATGAACCAAATTGCCCCTTGTCATGTCTGCCTCTTCGTCCCACCAGGTGGGCCTAGGCCTGGGCTACCTGGAACTGCCACAGATCAACTACAGACTCTCAGTGGAACATAAGACCAGGCCCAAGGTGGAGCTGATGCCTGGGATGCGGCTGGTGAGAGTCCCAGGACAGGTACAGACTGGGGTGGCCCAGGTAGCTGGCTGGCATTAATCACCAGACTCTGGCCAACAGCTGCAGAACCTGCTGGACACACGCTGCGTGTACATCCTGGACTGTTGGTCCGACGTGTTCATTTGGCTTGGTCGAAAGTCTCCACGTCTAGTGCGGGCCGCTGCCCTCAAGCTGGGTCAGGAGTTGTGTGGAATGTTGCACCGACCACGCCATGCAGCCGTCAGCAGAAGCCTGGAGGGCACCGAGGCACAGGTGCACAAGGCCATGCCTTTCTCCCATGACCCACGCATAGGCCCCAGCCCATCTCCCCTACCCTTTCCACAACCTACCCCACCTACTTCCCACCCAGATGTGGTTTCAGGGCCCTGCCCCATCCCTGACTTCTCTCTCAGAAGTCTTAGTCTGTGGTCTCCTGGCACCTAAGTGCACACCGTAACAGTGCACTCTACCCCACCTTATGTTTTCTGCGCGCTGGCAGGTGTTCAAGGCCAAGTTCAAGAATTGGGACGATGTGCTGACAGTGGACTATACACGCAATGCGGAGGCTGTGCTGCAAGGCCAAGGCCTGGCTGGGAAAGTGAAGCGAGACGCTGAGAAGAAAGACCAAATGAAGGCAGACCTCACTGCACTCTTCCTGCCTCGGCAGCCACCCATGGCCTTGGCAGAGGTAGGTGAGGGCGGGCCTCGGGTGATTTCCTGTCAAGCTGAGAGCACCTGGGCACCTGTCCTGTGGGGTCTCATGTAGGCTGAGCAGCTGATGGAGGAGTGGAACGAGGATCTAGATGGCATGGAGGGTTTCGTGCTCGAGGGCAAGAAGTTCGCGAGGCTGCCGGAGGAGGAGTTTGGCCACTTCCACACCCAAGACTGCTACGTCTTCCTCTGCAGGTGTGGAGTCCCCCAAAGCAAGTGCTGGTAGGGCTTGGACTGCTGCTTACCCCTCTGACCCTACAGGTACTGGGTGCCCGTGGAGTACGAGGAGAGGAAGGAGGAGGAGGAGGAAGAGAAGGCCAAAGCCGAGGGCGAGGAGGCCACAGTGGAAGAGAAGCAGCCCGAGGAGGACTTCCAGTGCATCGTGTACTTCTGGCAGGGCCGCGAGGCCTCCAACATGGGCTGGCTCACCTTCACCTTCAGCTTGCAGAAGAAATTTGAGAGCCTCTTCCCCGGAAAGCTGGAGGTAAGCCTGCCCAGTCCTCCACGGCCCCACTCTTGGTTCATTTCCCGTAGTTGGGAGTAAGGCATTGGACTCAGACCTGAGAAAAGGCACGGAGTGGGTGTTCAAGGTGCTACCTGATACCTCCACCTCATGACCCTATAGGTGGTGCGCATGACGCAGCAGCAGGAGAACCCAAAATTCCTGTCCCATTTCAAGAGAAAGTTCATCATCCATCGCGGCAAGAGGAAGATGGCCCAGGGTGCCCCGCAGCCGAGCCTCTACCAGATCCGCACCAATGGCAGCGCCCTCTGCACACGGTGCCTGGGCAGGGGGTGCACAGTAGACTGGTGGGGTCAGTGAGTGGGCCTGGAGGCAGTGGGAGACTGGCAACCCCCTGACCCCTTGCTGACTCCTTGGTTAGGTGCATCCAGATCAGCACAGATTCCAGTCTTCTCAACTCTGAATTCTGCTTCATCCTCAAGGTGGGATATATGGGGCCCAGGGCTGCAGCCAAGGTGCTGGGCTGTGACCAAGACTGCAGGCTGGAGCTGACCTGAGCCCTGCATACTCCTCAGGTTCCCTTTGAGAGTGAGGACAACCAAGGCATCGTGTACGCGTGGGTGGGCCGGGCCTCAGACCCTGACGAGGCCAAACTGGCCGAGGATATCCTGAACACCATGTTTGACACCTCCTACAGCAAGCAGGTGCCCACAGCAGCTAGGTGGGTGGGCAGGTGGGCAGGATTTAGGGCTGGACTGACTTTTCCCTGACAGGTCATCAGTGAAGGCGAGGAGCCTGAGAACTTCTTCTGGGTGGGCCTTGGGGCGCAGAAGCCTTATGATGACGACGCTGACTACATGAAACATACACGACTATTCCGGTGAGGCCAGGGCTCACCCCAGCATCCCTCTTAAGTCCCTGGCTCTGCTGCTGTGATCCTCCGCCTCACCATGACCCCTTGGCCCCAGGTGCTCCAATGAGAAGGGCTTCTTTGCAGTAACGGAGAAATGTTCTGACTTTTGCCAAGATGACCTGGCAGATGATGACATCATGCTGCTGGACAATGGTCGAGAGGTGAGACTCCCTGCCTGTTCAAGGAGGCCAGAAGAGGGGTGTGACCTTCAGTCATCCTTGGAACGACCCCTTTTGCTGTCCCTGTAGGTCTACATGTGGGTGGGGACCCAGACGAGCCAGGTGGAAATCAAGCTGAGTCTGAAGGCCTGCCAGGTAAGCAAGGTACAAGGTAGTTTGAGTTTGAGGCAAGCCCAGCCGGCTTGAAGCCCTGGCGCTCAGGGCCTTTCCCTTCTCTCTTAGGTGTACATCCAACACTTGCGCTCCAAAGAGCAGCCCCGCCGTCTACGCCTGGTCCGCAAAGGCAACGAGCAGCATGCCTTCACCCGCTGCTTTCATGCCTGGAGCACCTTTCGGAAGGCTCTGACCTAGGGCAGCCCCTCAGCTCTAGGTGAGAGAAAAGGAAGCCCTCTACCCACCATATGCTAGAACCTAGTGTAGCTACCCTAGTGCCCCAGCCCCCAGCAGCACCTACAGGGACAACCTGGCAGGTGCCCTCAGGGAGTCTGGGAATTTGGGCTCTGTTCAGCATGAGCAAGTGTGTGAAATCCTTCACCTGCCTGGGTTGACGCAGATGTTCTTGCCCTTAAAGAGATATTAAATGCTTTTATTTTCAATATTAAAAATCAGTATTTTTAATATTAAGACCACTAATTTTAACAAAAAGACAGGGAAAAAACCCAAGGTACAACCTACAGGGAAACCCATCCTGACCCCAAACACACCCTTAACTGGAAACCTGTCCATGTATGTACTTGTGTGCCTTATGGGGTGCAGGGGCACTGGTCCTGGATCAAGTACCAAAATAATTTTAGAAACAACTGCCCAGCCCAGGCATTACAAAAATACTCTTTGGGGAGGGAGGAGAGAGGAGCACTCAGGGAGCACCCAACCTCTGGATGGCTGACTACATCAGAGGGCCCAATCTGCATCTGTCCCTACCCATTCCGGGCCCAGGAAGACAGACTGACAGGTCCCCGCGAAAGCCCAAGTTAGCAGGTATAGGTCTATGTTACAGGGCCAGGCAGGAGGGTGGGGGTCCAGGGCCCCAGCTCCAAGCAGGGCAGACGGTCGTCAGAGAGTTCTGGCTTCCTAGTGGACGGAGAGAAAAGGAATCAGCAAACAGCACGGTTAGACCACACAGATGCCTCTACTCAGCCTTCAGGGCTTCGGGCAGTGGCCGGGCCTGATGTGGGACTGGACCATCTTTGGCCCACTGAGGCCAGAGCCCAGCCAGGGAAGAGGCTTTAGGGATTCCAGTCCCAGATGAAAAGGAGCCAGGGTGTCTACCCCACTACATGTGGTTGGAGCACCAGATGGCAAAATTGGTTGAGCAAATCTGAAGGCCCAAGACCAGCCAGAGATCTGCTGGCCTTGCCCAACAGGACCCAACAGTGGCCTCAAATCGTTTTGACATGGCATTGTTTCAAACACAATCCATGACATCATCTGGAGCTATGTGACAGGCCCTGGCTACAACAATCACTCTGAGACCCCGCCACCTCCCACCCCCAAGTACACTAGAATAGGTAGGCCAGCTCCAGGGAGGTCAGCCACCACAGGGCCCCTGCCAGGGTTTCAGGGGCAAGACCCAAGCACAGAGGGCCCGTGGGGCCTCACCTAGAACACTTCATTTGATCAGGAGCGTGCAGGCGCATGCCTCGTCCTGCGCCGTGTTCCTCAAGATCTTCTGGGGTTCCTCCGAAGAGCTTGGGGAAGGACGAATGGAAACTGGGTTCTGGTCCCTCTTGGTCCTCCGTGCACAGCAGGACATGTATGGGGTGTGGGGAGCTAGGGAGCCCAGTGGTAGGGTGTCAAGAAACCTGCCTGCCCGCCTTACCACAAGAAATCCTTCACATCCTCCACTGTTACGTCCCCAGTCGTGGTGTCCAGTGTGCTATCAGCACTGGTGGCTGAGTCTGTGAACACAGGTGAGGGCAGAGCCTCGGGCAGCTCCAGAGTGTCTTGGGAGGAATGGGATGACGATCAGAACGGGTCACAACGGGCCAGTGGGTTCTGGTGGGGACAGCTCACACATGGCAGGGCACTCCCCCGCTTCATACCCCCTGCTCCCTTGCTTCGGGCAGGACTTGGGCTCCTGTCACAGCTCCGTGGGGTCAGGATGATACTTGGGGTCCCATTAGCCTGACTCAGCTTGGACAACTCTTGGAGCCTGTAGCTGCAAAGATGGGGGTGTGATGGGGCACCACAGGCAGGCACTCCGGGCAGAACCCCTGCTCTCCCACTACTGAGCCATGGGACAGGATGTTCCAGGGAGGTTAGAAATTGGAGGTGGGGATGAGGCCTGGCATGGCCACATGCCTCCAGATTAGGAGAGCCTCCTCCTCACCCACCCCACCTCCATGCACCTGACATGGGTAGTGTCATGGGGCCAGGAAATGTCCAGAGAGCACAGCGGCTCTGTGATGTTCCGGGCACTTAGGGAAAACCGTTCAAATTCCGATGGAGAGATCAGGTAGAAACCTGGGTGTGGCAGGAGAGAAGAGCTAAGGACTGCAGTTAGGAGACAGATGCCCTGAGCCTTCACTGGCTCCATTCACCCCCACATGGCTGCTGGGCCCACCTGAGCACCTGCAAACCCCCCAGTGAAGCCTGTCACCTTGGCCGTGGCTCGTGAAGATACAGGAGGCGATGCCACTGATGTCCTCCTTCCGGATGCAGGAGTAGTGCACCTGGGGCCGCAGGCCAGGCACCGAGAAGACATGGACGTCACCCAAGTTGGTGAGGCAGGCCAGGCAGGTCTCAACGTAGTCTTCGCAGGCCACGCTAGTAAACGTGGCCAGTGCCACCTTGCGCACGCGGCAGCCCTCATGGGCCGTCAGCTTGAACTTGGTCTTGGCACTCACCTTCGGCAGTGTGAACACCTGGCAGTAGGCAGGCTATGAGCTGAGAGCCCAGCCTCTCCACACGCTCCAAGACCCCCGTCACACTTCTGGCCAGGAGTCAGCCTCATGGCCAATGCCAATAGCCCCCTCCTAAAGGCAACCTGTTACTCAAGCATCGGTCGAACCAGCTCAGGAGTTCCCAACATATGACCTCACTGACCCTCTTTCTGCCCAGTACTCCTCACATTGCCCACTGCATCCTCTCACCCTGACACCTCATCTTCCACACCTAACAAGTTAAACACTGCTTCCTGGAAACGTCCAGAATCCTTTTACCTATAGGGCATAACAGTCACAAACCCCCTAGTCCACCCATCCCCATCCATGAGCTTCCCCCAGCCCTTGTAAGACACATCCCAGGGGGAGCCTGGAAGCCTTGGGGTAAATAATGAGGTAGAAGGGTCTTGGGGGAACTCTGCAGGGGAAGAGATCAATGAGGTGGGACTGTGGTAGGACAGAGGGTGTCTTGAGAGGTGGCATATATGCAGGGAGGGATCCTGAGGGAGCCACTGGGTTTGTGAGGCAGGGGTCTTGGCAGCCCACCTTGAACTGCTCTTCAGATGCGATGAGCACAGCGTGACCACCCTGCATGTCAGGCGCCTGTGCCAGGTCCCGGGAAGCCTCATAGGGTTCGGGCAGTGGACGGCCATGCCCGTCCAGCACAGCGATGGCCACCACAGGTGCTCGGTGCATCAGCTGCACCTCCTTGCCCAGCACAGCCTCTACAACCCGCTCTGGCCACTTTTCGCTGCCTGTTGTTGCCGCCGCTGTAGGCACCTCCAGTGCATAGGCAAACACGGAGCCCGAGTTGGTGCCAGCCCACAGGGTAGGGCCATGGTGGACAGCTGCAGGGGCAGGGCTCATGAGGGTCTGCAGGGCCAGGACCCTCTTGGTGGCCCCTGCCCATCTCCCCATCTCAACTGAAAGGCCAGGCTCAAAACGGCCTTGCTCCTGTCTCCATCAGGGGGGTGGGGCTGTCAGACCCCATCTACCACCTTGCTGAAGTCCCTGACCCAGCCCTTCTGCAAGGACCACTAGAACACTTCCCAGGGGCACCCTGTTCCAAATGGACTTTCCCAGCCTCACCTAACCTCACCCGCAGCCACCCCAGTACAATACCATGGACCTAGATCAGCATACCCCTGAACGCCTCTTCCCCCTAAGGCACCACCTCAATGGACACAGAATTTGAGCCCTTATTCCACATAGATCTACTTGTGTAGTATCTCTGCCTCGAGAAGTCGATGGCCTCAGCCCTGCCCCTGCTGCACCCTCACCCCTCTGCAGTCTGCTCCCCACAAGGCAGGAGGTAAGAGCCGCCTGTTAAAACAAGGCAGCCCCCAGGTCTTAGACCTCCTGCTACCACAAATACATCTATGACTGAGTGGGCTGCAGCCAGCCTAGGAGTCTAGTCAGGGACCACAACAGGACAGCTTCAGTGTCACCAAGAATAATGATGCAGATGGCTTACTCCCCCAGTCCACTGCATGCTCCCCAGCACCCCAAAGTGAAAATATGTGTGTTGCCCTGCCCACCTATATGGCTAAATCTCTGGGAGGGCTCGCTGAGAGAGAAGGACAGGTCCTGGGGGAGAGTCAGCACCCAAAGGTAAGAGGGAAGGCTGGCCCTAGATGCACTGGCCATCAGCAAAACCCAAAATCTGAAGGGGAAAGCCCCTGAGCCATCCCAGGCAGCACCGAGGTCACCAGGAGCCCAGCCATCTGGAAGCCTAATCAACCACATGCAGGGATCCTTAAGAAGCAAATGACACTAAGGGGACTCCCTCTTAGACACATTTTTGTGCCAGGAGTAGACCACCAGTTTGTATAGGGCAGCCCTGGCACTGATGTAAGGCTGTCCCAACAACACTAAAGCTGAATGAAACAAGCAGCCAGGGGCAGATTTCATAAGGGAACCTTCCCTCAGTCCACAATAAAAGGCTTTAAAAAAAAGAAAAAGCAGCAAGGCACAGGGACAGATGCTGCCACCGCAGTAAACTGTGGGCACAAGTGGGTGTGTGTGTGACTGCACCCCTCGATTTTTGTGCATGTTTGAAATTCTCCACGGTGCATCTCTGCCAGAGCCTTCCTGTGGCTCCCACACTGCTCAGCATCAGCGTCCTCGTCCGCACCCTTGGGTCACTCCCACCATGCTGCACCATCTCCTTGCCATCACAAATTCTGCGGTCCCTTGCCTCTGAGCCCAGGATACTTTCTAACCTAGGGCCAACCTCACCCCAGCCCGCCCCCTTCCGTGGCCTCACCATCTCGAAGGAATGTGTCGGCAAAGTAGAGGCAGCGCACCACACCCGAGAGGGAGTCATCGGCTGAGCGGGGCTCAATGCGGCGCTGTACAGGTGTCACCTCCAAGTCATGGGGGCAGGCCTGCTCCGCTAGCTGGGCATTGGCCTCCTGCAACTGAGGGGCAGTGAGACACTTTCTCGCCACCTACCCAGCTGTCTACCACAGCCCATGTCCAGGTCCACCAGAGCCCCTGCAGGACAGCCTCCACCTGCCTGGGCTGCTCACCTTGCTGTTAGTGTTCACCGCCCGCTTCTTGCTGGATACCCGGCTCTTGCGAATACGCCGGAAAGACTGACGCAAGGACTTCTTGAGTGACTTCACCCGAGACAGTGGCCCCTCCATGGCCAGGGAGTCGTTGGGGTGAAGAGTGCACCTGAGGGCAGGTAGAAGCCAGTCAGGAGCAGCCGAGGGGCCGCTGTCAGCCCAGAACCTAGGCACAAAAGGGCCCAGCATAGAAGCCGGCCTCTCTGATAGCCCCCTGCTGACTCAGTAGCTGCATTTAACAGGCCCGCTCCCCCTGGGGCCCCATCACCGCACCTGGCCAGCACAGGGCTCTTGCACTGGTAGTCAAAGAGACCAAAGCCATGACTGGTGCCAAAGGCCACAAGGCCCCACTCGGTGTGGAGTGTGATGGCAGTGACGGCAGCAGGTGGCAGGCATTGCACCAACACTCGGGGCTGGAAGCCGGCTGGCCAAGACAGTGGCCCCATGTTGGGGCTCAGTCGGTCGTGGCCCTTCCACGTGAAGCCCTCGCGGTCCTGGAGGAGGTCCACACTGGCCACACTAACTACCTGCTCAGTTGGCACATCACTCAGCTCCAACACCAGCACCTGGCAGACAGGGGGACGGGTCAGGGTGGAAGGACTACCTATGAGCAACAGCCTGCGTCTCAACCATTGCCAGAGGGGCCCCAGGAATCCCACCAGTGCACTTGCTGAATGAGTGCTTACTGAATGTCTACTGTATACCAGGGCCCACACTGAGCACTGAAGAACATGGCAGTCACCAAGACCCACTGGACCTTGCCCTCCCTCCCTGCTCAACACATCCATGACCAGGACCCAGTATCCAGCATTGTGCACTGATGCCGAATTGGATGTGGTCACTTGAGGATCACCTAACTCTGTTGGGGTCCCAGCCCTCAAGGCCCCAGCAGCAGTCCCCACCTCCTATCTATCCACAGCCCCTTCCTTTATCACTCCACCAAGCCCACCAGCAGTCCAGGCTAGCTACCTCCTCCAGAAAGCCTTCCCCGAGACCCCCAACCCTGGGGGTGCCCCTCAACCCCACCTGGCCTGCGGTGCCAGCCACCACCATCTGGGCTGTGTACTTGCAGAGTGCCACCTTCTGTATGCCTAGTCGGGGGTCGTCGCTGTATGGGTCAAAGCAGCCCACCTAGAGGAGGAGGGAGTGAGGACAAAGGCAGGCCAGGGTGGCTCTGCAGGGTGGTGGAGTGGGTGCGAACCTTGCGAAAGGGTGGCCAGTCATCCTCGGCAGCCTGGCCCAGGCTATCTGCATGCTCAAAGTCTGTGTGGAACAGGCCGGCCGTGCTCAGCTTGTAGAGAGGCTGCAGTGCCACGCCCGAGGCATCCCAGAACCGCACAGTGCCATCCTCGTGGCTGTTGGGGGCATCAGGGCCACATAAATTCAGCTCACTCTCCATTTACTCACCCCATGAGCACTCACCAAGCACCTGCATATATGTGTGGACCAACTGGTCCTACTGCACACAAAGACACACTGAAGACCTACTGCATCGGGCAAGCAGGTACAAAGCACCTACTGTCTGCCACGCTTTGAACCTGAATCCTTCCAGCAGGGTGGAAAGGTGGGACACATCTACCACTCACTAAATCTAGGAGGACGGAAGCAGCACACTGGGTGAATGGAGCACCAGGGGGGCTGCCCTCATTAGGGGCACAGCAGAGGGCAGGCTTCCCAGGCCAAGGGACCACTGGGGCACAAGGTGACTGAGTAGAGCATCAGAAAACAATGGGTGAGGGGTGTCAGATGAAGGGAGACAAATCTAGGATGCAACCTCAGGACACAGCTGCAGAGGCCATGTGGGGGCCTCCTGGGCAGTGGTAGGGAACTGGAACTAGGGCATGACAAGGGGCCTGATTCTGTGGGGCTAGCCTGGTACCTGACTCCAGGAGCCATGAAAGCTACAGTGCATTCCTGTGTGGGGGAGGGAACACTGGAGCCTAGAGCATGGAGGGTCCCAGTACAGGCAGACAACAGGGGCAGGGCAGGAAACTGGGGTTTGAGTCACCAGACACGTCAGCACCCGCTAGGCCCTCTCAAACCTGCCCTAGAAAGCTCAGCGTGGGTCAGCCCAGATTTTCCGGTCCCAGGCAGGCAAGGTAGGTGGAGCCCTGGGATTTGGCAGAGCTCAGTTCCAGGCCAAAAGGCAGGGTCTAGGGAGGCTTTACCCCCCAGGATAGATTGGGGGGTGGGGGGGGAGGGTGACTTGGTTCAGGAAGGGCTGGACTGAGTCACCTGCATGTTAGTGGGGCAGGCTGCACCAGGCCTGCTAGGAATGGGGTCTCACTCACCCACACACACACATGCAAGTCACAGCCATGTTCTGGCTTGGGACAGGCAGCTCTGCCTTACCCAGTCAGCAGCAGCCCTCGCTGCGATGGTGCATGGGCCAGGTTCCGGCCCCCAGTAATGGGCCAGCTCTGGAAAAGGAAGGAAGAGATGTGAGCGCATGGTTAGGATACATATTTTCTCCCCAGACTGTGTCAGAATTCCCATGGTACACTTGCCATGTGCCCCCCACTCCAGGCCTGGCCTGTCAGTGCCACCACTGAGACATCCTCTCCCCACACCACATCCCACCCAGCAGGGTGTCTGGCACACACTGAGGCACTGGAGGTGGGCTGAGGGCTCTGCTGCTCGCCCAAGCTCACAAGGCGGGCCCACAGCTTGGCAGGGACATTGGCGACATGGGCTGAGCAGGTGATGGCAGATGAGTGTAGGGGGGCAAGGTATGGGGCGGGCACGGCCGGCCAGCCAGCTGTTTGCAGGTCCAGCACCACCAGCTCCTCTTCCAGCAGCACGGCCAGGGCCTGGGGGTTGTCGAATTCTGTGTGGCGGGAAGTAGAGTGAGCCACCCACAGGCAGAAAGGACAACACGGCAGGGAGGGGAGGTGGGCACCCACCATCCTCAGGCCGAGGGCTGTGCACGGTGAAGAAGTCAATGACTCGGGAGGTGAAGTCCAAGGTCACCAGGGTTTCAGCCTGGAGCACGCTCACACAGTGGCGATCCCCATAGCTGGCACGAGGCATGCCACCACTGAAAATAATAAAATGGCCCCTGCACAGGGCAGGCAGCCATGAGCCCCAAGCAACCTGGGCACATGCTGCCCAGCCCCAGACCCCACACCATCAACCTACCCTGATTCACAGTTTCTCCACAGAATCTTGTTGATGGCTTTACACGGGAAGGGGCCTAGAGGCAGGACAGAGTGTCAGACCAACCTGAACCCACCTCTCACTGCTTCCCCCAGCCTGATCTGCTCCAGCCATGGCAACAGCATACTGTACCAGCCGCACACACCCTCACAGGTACTCCCAGCTCTCAGCTCCAGGGGAAGGCCATTATCCCAACCATGTCCCTTGGGGAGGAAGAAGGGTCTAACTTCTGGAGAGTTGGCACTGTGCCTACTAGAAGTCCTCCTGGGTGCTCCCCACTGAGGCCTGACTGGGGAAGATGGGTCAACTGCACTCCCACTCCAGAAGGCCCTGGACACTGACCATAGGGTGTGGTGGCTGCCGTGGGCTGCAGCACGCAGGAGCTGCCCGAGTCCACAGGCCAGATGGCATAGCTGCCATCACTGTGGGAGCTGAGAATGATGCTGCCACTGCGCTCCCAGCACAGGCTCTCGAGCTGCTGTGAGGTAGACAGGCAGGATGTGAGCAGGGCCCAGGCAGTGGAGCACAGGGCATGAGAGAGATGCAGCCTGTCACCTACCTGGTTGCCCAAGAAGACACGGTCCACACAGTGTTGGGCCTGGCTCCAGATGACCAGCAGGCCCCTGCTGTAGCCGATGAGAATCTTGCTGGGGTCTTGCAGATGCCCCTGTAGAGACTCCACGGGGCCTAACGCCTTCCCACATCGGTAGTCTTCCGGCAGGCTACAGGTAGGAACTCAGTGAGGTTGCAGGACAGCTTCCCAACTGCAAAGCTACTAAGGTTAGGCACTAAGTCCTCACCTCCGCAGAACCTCATCAGAGCCAAGGGTCTGCCCCTCGAGCAGTGTCAGTGTATCCATGTCTAAGAAGAAGACGCTGCTGCCCTCAGTGCCCAGGGCTGCCCTGTTACCCGCAGTCATCAGCAAAATCACAGTGACTCGGAAGAGACTGGGCAGAGTGCTGCAGGGGCACAGAGAAAGAGTTAGGGTGCCACTGTGAACTCACTGCTGGACCCTCTACACACTGGTGCTTAATTATGGAGTAGGCAAGAGTATGAGAGACAATGAGAGCAGCTCCACAGTTGGTTATTAACCTGCTCAATTATTTGTCAGGATGTCTGCAGAGAGGAATGAAAATAGGTTTCCCCAAGTCTGGGAGATGGGCAGCTCCTCAGCTCCTTCCACCCACAGCAGGAGCGCACGCAGGAACCGGTCAGCTAATCAGAACAGGATCTTCACCAGCAGCTCTCTGGGCACCCCGACTTCTCAGGGAGGCTCCAGCATGACCTCTCAGAAGAGCCAAGCTGACTGGTGGCTGGCAGGGGTCAGGCAGGAAGCAGCACCAACTCGCCCTCTTACTAGGCGGCCCAGTCCCCATGCCACTGCCCCCTAGGATACCCTGCCAGCATCCTTTAGAGCACCCATGACGGTGCATTCCTCCACCCTAACTTCAGACACTGGACAATCTTCACTGATGTCAGAGCCTGCTCACAGGCCCCAGGTACCCCACCATCCCAGGGCCGCCCCCCTGTGTTCCCACTGCTCACAGCCCACCGAAGGCTCCAAGTCCTAGTCCTGCTGTAGACATCCACCTCTCACCACACACTCAGAAGGGATCTCTCAGTAACACCCCTAAAAGTCCACAAAACCAGTCGGCCGCGCAAGACCCAAAAGCTCAGTCTAAGACTCAGGCCTGATTCAACTTACCCCAAACCTGAACCCCAGCCCTCCTGGCAATAAACCAGCCACACCCTGCATAGGAGGCTCAGCTTCCACCGGGCCCTGAAGAGCTGGCTACTGGCCGAAGCCTCCAGTACCTGGCACAGTCAAAGCCAGGGCGGCTAGGTGGCTGAAAGCTGAGTGTTTCCTCCAGGTGGGCACAGCCATTGTGAGGGACGATCTCCCAGAGATGCAGAGTGTTGTCATCCAGCAGGGTCACGAGGCGGCCCTGAAAGCAAGCAGAGAACAAGGCTGGGGCTGGCCTGGGAGGGAGGGCATGGGGAGCCCCAGGGAGGGGATTGGGAGGTGGAGGCTCACCTGGCCAGGCAGGAAATGCATCTGGGTGACAGTGGCAGCATCATGGTGTAGACCTGTGAACTCCACACCGGGTGCACCATAGCTGAGGGCAAATGATCAAGGGCAGAAACAAGCAGGCACAGGCAGGGAAATCAAGGCATGGGGACACTCCTCAAGCTTCTTTCTTCCTTAGGACTTTCCATTGGACCCTTAGGCAGGAGTCCTCAAAGGTCCTGCCCCAGGTCCCACCTGGTCCAGGGTGCAGCTCCTACAAGCTGGTGCTGCGGTGTAACCTTCACATCCTAATGTGTAAAGTGAGCCAGACTCTGACTTCTCAGGCTCATAAGACCATGCCTGATGCATGGTTGGGGTCCCACTCAATCTCAGCTTCATGTTTTGTGTGTGTGTATGTGCGCAACAAAAAGTCAAAAGCCATGCCTGACAGCCTGAAAGCCACAGAGCCATACGACCTGAGTGTGTGTGTGTGTGTGTGTGTGTGGGGGGGGGGGGAAGGGGACACACAGCAGGGGAGGGTCCAAGTTCTTCCCACAGCTTCAGGTTGCACTCCAGCTGTAGGCAAGGAAACCAAAGTCCCTCTGGGGAGGTAGCCAAAGGCCTCCACTGAGAGGAAGGAGGAACCCTGGCCTGCCCATTTTGCAGATGAGCACACAGAGGCTTAGAGAGATTGGGAGACTGCTTGAGGAGCTCCAAGTGTCAGTGCCATAGTCCTGGCAACTCTCTGAGCTACAAAGTGGTGGACGTGGTACGCCAACAGGCCTCAGGGGCCCCACAAGGGTGGACTGAGAGTGGGGGGAGGTCAATGAGGTCTAATGTTGCCCTGGCAACAGTAAAGAAGCAGTTGCCTGGAACTTGAGATGGGATTCCCTACAGGAGTCTGGCAGTGAACAGAGGAGGGTATAAAAGGGGGCAGGAGGAACTGAGCAGAGACCAGGGTTGTCAAAGAGACGTGGCAAGCCATGTAGGGGGAGGGGCAGCTCTGCTGACCAAGGCTGGCCCTCGCCGGCCTCAGTTTCCCCAGCCCAGGGGCCCTGGCCGTGAGAACTCCCGTGGCCTCTCTGAGGCTGATTCTCATCTGCACATCAGGATCTTTGTGATGACAGATTTGGCACTGTAGACACAAAGAGTCCACAATGTGGATGGGCAGCTCTGGGCCACTGGCCAGGCACAGAGGGGACCTCTGGCCAGGCACAGGGCTGGGGCACAGAAGCCTCACAGCTGACAAGGAGCAAGGTGCTACAGGTGCTTTCCCTTGCCCAACAGGTGCCTTAGGGGCCCCTGAAAAAGTGCCAGCCTACCCACCACATCCCCATGACTAGGCAGAAGGCTTCGAGGCACAGGCTGCAAATCCAACTCATGGTCAGCCATCACCCAGCCCCTACCGTTTCCAGGCACCAACTCATTTTCTGCTGAACTGTGTCCCCAAGGAGGACACTAGACTCAGAGGGGACACAGGAAGGGGTAGATGGGCACACCTCACTTAACAGCCTTAGCTGCCAGCCAGAGTCACCTGAGGGATGGGATTCCTAGTGGCAGGCAAGAAGGGGGTCAGCTGCAAGCACAGCCCCACCCTGCCCCACTTGCAGAGAGAATGCTTGTTTCATGCAGCTCACACGGCTGGACTGTGCAGCCACCAGGGCCCAGCCTGGCACTACCCTCAGCCCCACACTGACCACACACACCTGACTGCACGTTGCACACAGGTGCGCGTCTGGTCACAGGGAAGTCATCCATGTGACCCCAGGTCCCTGGCCCCCAGTCGCAGTTGCTGTTGATGGCAGGGTCCCCTGATGGGACATTGACAGGGCTCATGGAAAAGGGATCCTATCTCTGTGAGCACCCTTGCAGGCTCGGAGGCCATGCCAACCCCCACAGTGTAGCTCGAGATTCTAGCACTACAACAGCCCCCATCAGAAAGAAGCCCTCCATCCACACTCCCTCATGGGTTAGCCCAAGGAAAGGCCCAGGATCCTGGAACTGGCAGCAGGCCCCAGAGGCCACAGCTACAAAGGATACATCTTGATAGCTCCTGACCTCGTACCAATAGCCATGATGCACAGCTTGGGGTCGAAGGCCAGGGCACTGGGCTGGTTGGGGAACCCATGCTCCACGGTCTACAGGGGAGAGTGAGGGAAGGGTGACTAGAGGCACGCTCAGACACAGCTGCCCCAGCCCTGAGACCGGCCCAAGGCAATCAGGCACCTGCCATTCTGTGTCCTAGGTGGTCAGAACCAGGGACATGAGCTCTCTGCTCAGTGTTCTCGCTGCGAAAGGGGACCTCTGTCTCCAATCAGTGCTCAAGCCTGAGCCCCTTGGCCCCATACTAGGACTCTTCACAACTTTAGTGAGTGGGCGGCCCCAACGCCCCCCATACTGGTGTCAATGAGTCCACTATGCAAAGGTGCTAAGAACACACGGTCCAGCGGTGGCACCAAAGAAGACACACCTCCCGTGGACTGGGCTTATCACCCCATCCTTGGAGGCTCAGAATGAGGTTCAGTGAGGACTTGGCCTGCCCAGGGTCACACCTAGAAGTCCATGGAGTGCCCCAAACACAGGACCCATATGGAATTTATAGGTCAAAAGTCAACATGTAAGGTCACCTGGTCAGAGGTACTTGATGTCCCTCCCATAGGGAATACTGTCTTCTGTACCCCACCCCCTCAGACCCAGAAATACTGAAGTCCAGGTAGAAGCAGCTTCTAGTCAGGCCCCTGAAGTTGAAATCCATGCTGACTTTGGTTCACCAACCTGGAAATCACACAACACAATTCTCACCTTCACTCAATGGGGAAAAACTTCTGGACAACCAAATCAATTGGGATAAAACAGTTCACAAAGACGCTGTGGTGAGTAGCAACTGGAGACTTAGACTAGCAAGGAGCCGTGTGATATACAACTATTGGCCTCTCCCCATTCAGAGGAAAGAAGAGTCAAGAAAATCAAAGACTCAAGGAAACAATCAGTCCAAAGGGCTACTGGACCATGCAAAACACAGCCTCCATAACCTGAGACCAGAAAAACTAGATGGCACCTGGCTACCAGTATCATTCACTCTCATCAGGATCACAAAAGGTCCTGAAGAAAAAATTAGAGAAAGATGCCTAACAATGTCCAAATTTATAAAACAAACAAACAAACCAGCTTTACTAGTCTGAAGAGACTGGTGGATCCCCCAAGACTGTGGCCCTTTGACACCCTTCAAACCTGGTCACCCCCAGGGGATCACATACAGTCAGCTAGCAGACAGGCCTATAAAGTGAGCGATAACACTGGTGAGGGATGTACTCCTCATAATAATAAAACAAACTAGACCAAAAGGGCAGCATTTGTCCAAAAACAAAGCTCAAGAAGGGGAAGAAAAGGAAGAGGAATGGAGCCGAAGCACCGAAGAGAAGGAGAGAATGCGCTTACATTAGGGGAACAACAACTAATGTTACAAAACAAAATTTATATGCAATGTTGAAGGGAAAACTCCTTTGCTTTGCAAACTTTCACCTAAACCACAACTAAAAAAAAAAAAAAAAATTCAGTGGCAGGGTGATGTGAAGGGGCTGCACAAAGACTCTTCTCTGTGCCCTCCTCAGTCTGCCTGCTTGAGAAGTCCCTGCCAGGGCCAAGGCCCTCCTCAGGGAAACCTACATGGTGACTCCAGCCCCATCCTGATACCACCTGAATGGTCACACTGCCCAAGGGAGACAGACTTCCTAAGGCACTAGGCCTCCTCCCTCCCTGCCTCATTCTTTCCCGATCTGGTTGGAGCCTCTGAGTAACTGTCATTTGGCTAAGGGAATAACAACACACTCAAATCTCAGTTTTCCCATCTGGACCACAGGGGCAGTGAGCCCACTGAGGACAAAGTTGACCACCGAGGGGGGTGTGATGTCCTTTTCCCAGCAGCACTAAGAGCCCATGTTGAGTCTATCCGGTACATGGGGCACATGACAACTGCTGAGTGTGTGACCCGCTGAAGCCACAGACAGGATAGAGCCACAGTCTAGTGTCTGGTATCCTCATGCCCTACTTCCAGCCCAGCTTGACTCCAACAGCTCCTCACACCCCACAGCCCCCATCCCACACCAAATCCCACCAATGCTTGCCTGGGCTAGTGTTGAGGTCATCTCACTGGCCACCCTGTTGCCTTTTGTCCCCTGGGCTCCAATCTGCTCTCCACACAAAAGCTAGAAGGAGCCTATAAAAACTGAAGTCAGATCTGGTCCCTCCTGGGCTAGGACCCTCCCAGGGCTCCCAGACTCAGTGGCAAAAATCCCCATAACTGACCCATTGGCTCTGGCCCTCATCTGCCACTCTCCCTCCACCCTGAATTTCAGCTGCCGCAGTCTCTGTGCTCTTCAATTGACTGGGAAGGCTCTTGACACAGGGCTTTGACCCCTGCTGCTCCCTCTGCCTAGAGCATGCTACCCCCATGCTCTCCACACCCTCACCCTGCTTTATTTTTATGCACAGCACTGGCCACTGGTTAAACTGCTGCCTGCTTTATTTCCACCACCTCCCGTACTGGAATATGTCTCCTGAAGACAGAGATATGTGCCCATTTTGGTCACTGCTATTTGCCCAGCACCCACACAACAGGGGCTCAGTCTTGCCTAAACTGACACAGAATCAACATCCCACAGGAAACTTGTGAGTAGGGATGGGATTTAAGCCCAAGACTACCAGAGTCCAAAGTCCATGCTTGCCCCTGACCCACTCCCCAACTTGGGATCCAGGTCCTACTCCCTAGGGATCACCTACCATCCTCTTTGGGGGCCTAGCCCTTTCCCCAAAAGCATTTCCCTCCCACCACTGCTGCCCATTCAGAATGGGGCCTGATCCTCCTCAGCAGACATCTCCCCTTTCTGCTAATACAGAGCCAGTCAAAGGAGGCAAGTCTCTCTATCTGATTCAGGTCCCCATTCACAGCCCTTTACTCTCACTTCATGGGGTTCACCCTCATAACCATCCAACATAGAAGACAAGGCATTTGGGGGATCTCCCAAGCACCAGCCTCCATGCCCACCACCGGCAAGTACTCCGCTACCTAACCTGAGGGTCCTGGCAACCTCTCTCACACCCACATCACTATCACCACAGACCTGACTCACCCCTGGATGTGGCCCCAGTACCTCAGTCACTCTTAAGTCCAGCCAACCCAGAGTTTCCTCTAGACAGGATCTTCTCATGGTGGTCCAGGGCACCACCTGGCACCAGCTCAGGACCACAGAAGCCGCTCAGAAAATCCCTGCTCCTCAAGACTAAAAGCGACTTCAACTTACAGAAAGATTTCTGTGACCTTGGGCAAACCCTCATCCCTCTCTGAACCTCAGTCTTTTTACCTGTAAAATGGAGATAATGAACTAATCTCCCAGAGCAGTCAGGAGCATTGGAGTAAAACTGAGATTAGAACTCAAGAAGTGAAGGGGCTTTTCCTTTCCCACTTGCCCCTTCTGCCCAACCCAGGTAATGGAAGGAACAGCCCTCCACCCCGCCTTCTCCTCATCTCAGTGTACCATTTCACAGCAAGAGAAACTGAGGTCCCGAAATCTGAAGTGTACTTAGCGCTCTGGCCAAGGCCAGGGGCTGGCGAGGGGGAGACGAGACGGGAACCTGGAAGGGATTTCCCAGCCCCACCCCCACGTCTGCCTCCACTCTTCTCTTCCTCGCGCCAGGGTGCCAAAGCAGCACAGGCCGGGCCCGGCACACCCCAAGAGCCGGGCCTGGGGGTGGTGGTGGTGGAAGAGGGTCCCCGGAGAACAAACCAGAGGGAGAGAGCTAGAGCCCCGGCTCTCATGGAAAGACAGGCAGACTTCAAGATGCAGAGATAGGGCGAGGACGGAGAAGCAGAGGGATGGGGGAGACCGGCAAGCGAGACGCGGCGACACTGGGCCGACTGAGGCAGGAGTCAGGCCCGGAGACGGAGCCCGCGGAGGGTGGGGGACGAGCGCGGGGCCAGGGGCCCCGAGCCCTTCCTCCGCCCCCCCGTCCACGCCCCCACCGCCGCCCCCGGCCCAGCACCTTATGGAAGGCGAAGAGCTCTTGTTTGAGCTTCTCGCGCTGCGGGTCGGCGCCCTGCCGCCGGAACCGAAACTTCATCATCTTGGCCCGGGCCCGCCGCCCGCAGGATGCGCCGCGCTGCCCCGCCGGTGCTGAGGGCGGGC